GGTAACGAATCTAGGCTCTCTTCACGAGTGGATGAGCCATAAAACCAAACCGCATAACTTGTGACTTGGAAAAGCATAATGAATAAAGCCAAGAAAATGATGGATCAAGACTTGCACATGACTCGGATCTAACTAAGTTTCTTGTTCAAATTTGGTAAATTCAAAATTCACATTTAATTTTATCTCGTTACTAGGCTGCATGTGCGAATAAACTGTTGTAGCGTGGGACTAAGACATAGAGTAAATAGAGTAAATATTATTTCCACCAAAAGGGACCACATCGTGCAATCACTTTTTAAAAAAATCTGTTTCAAACGTTAAAGCAAAAAGTAGAAATTAAATAAAAATAAGCTTACCAACGGTGGCCGAGTGGAAAGTGGTGCTACCGTCGACGACATTTCTACTTGCGGTGATGATAGTTCTCGTCCGACCATCTCCCATAAACATTATATTCTTTTTCTTCTTCGCCACTTCGACATTCTCTCTATAAACTCCGGCTTTAATATGTATCACATACCTCTTATTACTATTCTCCGGCGCCGCCGCAACCGCAGCCGCTATCGTCTTGAATGTCCCACTACCGTCAGCCGCTACGGTGGCGTCGGCTTTCACCGTAGACCCTTGAAGAAGCCTCCTATCTCCGGCGGATAACCAAGTCGGCCACCCTTCCGAGTCTAGTTCTCCGGCGCCGGCGATATCTACGGCCACCGTAGTCTCTTCCTCCTCCTTGAGCTTACGGTTGTTTGAGGTGAGTTTAGCTTTTAGGTCGAAATTGGCTATGTCGGTATCAGTCATGTTCTTGATCATTGCTAGTGCGTTGCTGCACATGTGCTCTACGTGTATCTACACATCATCATTTCGTTATTAAGCTATATTTTTTTGAAAAAAGGTTATCAACAAGTTAATGTAATTAAATGCATATACTCTAACAACAACAATTGATAGTTACTATTCATACAAATAGACCGGCACTAGCTAACAACATCTCATTGTAAAAACAAAAGTGCTACAAATTTGTCGATGTGATGTATGATGATTCTTGTTACTCTATTATTTTTTGCCACTATATACATTTTCAAAGATGGTGATTTATGTTGAGCCATTCCGGATTCCATTTATTTAGCGAACAAAAGAACAAATGCATTTTGGCCACATTTGCGATTTTTAAATTAAAACAATTATATTTTCCCTATAATGATTTTATCTCATAAATTTCACATAGTTGTTTTATTTTCAAATTTGAGCCGTAATGGTTAAAAGAGATGATGTTTTTTTTACGTACCTGACCCTTCGATAAGGCTTTACGAACTTTCTTATCCGCCTCGTCATGAGAGAAACCGTCGAGACAAGTCTCCTGATTGGTAATGGCAGAGCTAATTAGGGTTTTGAGATCACCGGCGTGTTCCCGGAGAGTTTTCTTGTTAGGATACACATGGAGATCTTCCACCGCCTCGTGAAGCTCATCGAGCGTCTCATCAATAGTCTCCAAACAGTCATGAAGAGCCGTCTTCTCACGTGGAGTCAATCCTTTCCTATTTTTGATCAGCTTCTTCACCGTGAAGTAGTTGTGTTCCACGGCGGTTGTCGTTAGGTTAAGCGACGCCTCGATGACGTCTTTCTGCGACGTTAGCTTGACGCCACCAGAGGTAGCCACGGCGGAAAAGCAAAGCTCAGGGTAAAACGTGGAGGAGCATGCGGATCTTAGCACGGCGTGAGACGACGGAGATAGAGTTCGTTTTCCGTTTTGGTTTGCTTTTGAAGCTCCGGCGGCGATTCCGATGACGGAAGCTATTAGGAGCAAGGCTACGGCGGCGGAAAGCAAAACAAGTTTCTTGTTTTTCTTGAAATTATCTTTAGAGAAGATTTCTTTGATTGATAATGCCATTGTTTGACACTGGTGGTGAGTGAGTGGTGAATGTGCTTGTGAAGAGTGGGTGTTTATATTGATGGAAATTAAAATCAGACACGAGT